TTCGTTGGTTGTTATTACCGTTCGGCGTATGGCCCGAATCAAATAATACGAATAAATTAAATAAATATTTGTCGATATTAAAAAATCTATTTTGTTTCGGTGTAATTGTTTTATTAATAACTGTTTGCAGTATTTACACGTTAGTTGATTTGCACGATTTTAAATCGCGAATTAGGATGACCGGTTCGATTAGCTTTTTCATTATGGGATTTATAAAATATAGTTCATTGTTAATTAGAAAAAGTAATACTAAGAATGGCATAGATCTTATCAAAATGGATTGGAGGAACGTTCGTTACACGGAGGATCGTCAAATCATGCTAGATTATGCTACATTCGGTCGTAGATTAGTTATAATTAGTGCACTATTTATGTTTGGTGGATCATCCATGTATCGTTTTATTGTACCAATTGCAACTAAAATAGTTGCGGATAATATTACGTATAGACGTTTGGTTTATCCTATACCAAGTATTATGTTTGACGCTCGTCAGAGTCCTATCAACGAGTTCATGATAGTTATTCAAGGTTCCCTAGGTATGGTTGTTAATACAATAACTGTTGGTGCTTGTGGTATTGCTGCTGTTTTCGTTATGCATATCTGCGGTCAATTAGAGGTATTGATTACCTGGTTAAAATATCTGATAGATGGACGTGTTGATCAAAATGATAATACGAATGAACGTTTGGCTGAAATTGTTAAAAAACATGTACAATTGTTAAGGTAATTTTAATCATTATTTTAATCTGAATTTTTAATTTCAATCTCTGAAACTTCGAGTATGGCACACAATTAGATTTTTGCATATTTAATATTAGAACAAATACAGAGTCAGAATATATTTGTTTAAATTGTTTGAATTGTTTTTACAGTTTTATATCTTTAACAGAAAATTTGTTAAATGAAATATCAATCGTAGAAGTATTTGGATGTACATTAAATCTATGCCTTCTCGGTTATTATTGTCTTCTCGTATGTATATATCATTTATTATATTACAATAACAACAAAAATATAAATTAATAAGAAATGTATTTTTATGCAATTTGATTGTATTTCATTTAATCGTTAATTGCATGATTTATTTAGGATGGTATCGGTGATTTTGTACGAACTATGGCATATTTCACCCTGCTCATATCATTTGGCTTTAATATTTTTATATTTTGTTATATAGGAGAACTTTTAACGGAACAGGTAATCAATTTTTTCAACTTCTTTGCATGATCTTGCAACAATCTCGCAATTGTTTACGGAAAACACTGCGAAACTCTTACAGCTATCCCGAGACATCGTTTTTTAAGCAATATATATTTAACAAATCTAAATATAATCAACTTGATCATGAAAAGAAATCTTATAACAGTGCAGAAAAGTTGGTGAGGCGTCTTATATGATCAATTGGTACAGATTACCTGGAAAGGAAGGTATGGCCATGAAACTAATAATATCGATGGCCGCGTCATCCGGAAAATTTTCTGCTGGAAAATTTGTTGAATTATCTTTATCCAGTTTTGGTGACGTAAGTAAAACAAAACAAAAAAACAAAAAAAAAACATTCAAAATCAGTTCCATTAAATTAATTATCAAAAAAAAAAAAAACAAAAAAACCAATTGTATATATAATTAATTACAGGTAATCAAAGCATCGGTCACGTATTTAAATATGCTACGAACAGTAACTTCCCGGATATCCTGAGAAAAAATAGTTTATTATTATAATAATATTAAATTATTCTTATTTTTACGAATTGTTAAGTAATTGATAGATTTCACGCACGAAAGAAAAAGAAAAAAACCCAAAAAAAAAAAAACGCAGTGAAGAAAAATAATAAATGATTTACAATATATATAAATCATATATTCTAAAAAAAGTAAAAACCTAAATCGTTACTAGAATATACGAAAGTATTTTCATTCATCGATAACTTTTAAACTAACATCATCTGTTCGATGACTTACATCTGAAAGAAAGAAAGAAAGAAAGAAAGAAAGTTTAATCCATATTACGATAGAGTTCATACACGCATAAAAATACTTAAACTCATTCCAACGAATAAATTTCTCGAAAGTAATCCAGGATGATATTCCCTGGTTCGAGTTATTTCCACTTTTCAACCCCCACATCACAATAGAAAAGTTCTTCCCTTTTATATCCTCGCAATTTACTCACTTACACTATAATAACTTATCATGCACAGACTCAGGCACAAATACATACACAATCCTTCCTCTATTCGCATGATCGAGAGTAAAAATATGAATAACGTGAAAGGTAAATGCAATAGGTTGCGCTTGCGCGTCATTTAACAAAGTTGTGGGAGCAAAAAGAGATGACATTTTTCCTATAGTGAGTTTCAGTCGGTCTCGTGCACGCAAACCGTCATAATGCACGATCGATCAAACACACACCGTGACACACACACAATAATAAGAAATATTCATTATCAAAAGGATATTAAATACGCGTTACAATTTTGTCGTTGGGTTCTTAAACCAATCGGTATTTGGCCATTGATATATCCAGGTGCTACGAAAAAACAAATCATTGTATCGATTTTCCTTGGTATAACATGCTTTACATGTTTGTGTTTCGTCCTGATACCATCCGGATTGCATACATTGATATACGAACAAAATATTAATATTAAATTGAAACTTTTCGGACCGGTTGGTTTTTGTCTAACATCAACAATAAAATATTGTTATCTTGGTATCAAAGGTAACGCCATTGGTCGGTGCATTTATTATATGGAAAAAGATTGGCAATACGTTAAGGATCCTAATTATCGAAGGATTATGATTAAACATGCTACGGTAGGTCGAAATCTTACCATTTTATGTGCCAGTTTTCTCTACAGTGGTGGTATGTCTTATCATACAATAATGCCATTGTTCTCGCGTCAAAGGATCGATGAAAATCATACGATAAGACCTTTGACTTATCCCGGATATGATAAATTTTTCGAATCACAAATTAGTCCAACTTATGAGATCATTTTTTGTACACATTGTATATACGCATTGATCACTTACAATATAACCACAGCCACCTGTAGCTTGGCGGCTACCTTTGTAAGCCATATTTGTGGTCAAGTAGAAATTATCTTAGCTCGATTGGATGATCTCGTTGATGGTAAAACAAATAAAAATACTTTAGTCGCTGATAGAATGGCTATTATTATTCAGGATCATGTCAAAGTACTTAGGTAAGATATTTATGATTTTTATATATTTAAAAAAAAAAAAATAAAAAATAAACATTTTATTTAGTATAATAGTTGAATACCTAATTTTTATATTATCCTATTCTCTGTGATATAAATTCATGTTAAAAAAAGAAAAGAAATATTCGTAGATTTTCCAAACAAATAGAAAAAGTTTTGCGAGAAGTTTGTCTGATGGAATTAGTTGCATCGACGTTGATTATTTGTCTTCTTCAATATTATTGCATGACGGTAATCATTGTGATTAATTGTTCATTTATCGTTTTGTTAAGAATTGTTAAATGATTTTTCTTTTTTTCTTTTTTTAGGAATGGAATAATAACGACACCGTTGCTATTCTAACATATCTCATTCTTCTAATTTCTTTCACGTTCAATATTTTTATATTCTGTTACATCGGTGAGCTGCTCGTTGATCAGGTATTTTTATATCTGCAATTTATTTTTTTTTCTCAATATTTTAAACTTCAGGTTTTAAGCGTTGACCCGCTAACAGTGCAGAAAAATTGGTGCAGCATCCTACAACGTTGAATGGTATCGTTTATCTGCCAATAAGGGATTAGATCTTGTTTTGTTGATTGCTATTGCTAATTATCCACCGAAAATTACTGCTGGAAAGATTTTCGAATTATCGTTGTCGACATTCGGTCGTGTGAGTATTCTAATTTATTAAATAATCAATGTTTCAATGTAAAAAATATATCTCTTCTTCTCGTATATTCTGAAACAATTTGTTATTATTCATTTGGAATAAAAAACAAAAGCGAAAATGTGTTGCAGGTTTTAAAATCGTCGGTCGTTTATCTAAACTTGATTCAAGCAGTAGCAGAATGAAATTAAAATGTTGCATACATACGAATAGAAAATAAACGTCGAAGTTTTTAATCTTGAAAAATAATTTAATAAAATGACGCAGGTATCTCTAATTTTTTGTCGTATGAAAAATTGTAATTCTGGTAAAAATGTATAAAAAGTATTGTTCTAACAATTATTATTTTTTAATACAAACATTTTTTTTTTACAGATTCTAAATTACTTTCTTACATATCAAAAAAAAAAACCTCAAAGGATCACCGAATATGAAAAAAGAAATACCATAATCATTTTAACATTCGAAAGAAACTACAATACTAATGTAAAAATTATCCAAATAATTTCTGACGAGGAAAAAAGATTCGCTCGTACTTCTTTCTTTTTTTTTTCTTTTTTCGCAACTTCAAATGCACAAATTAAACACACACCACCGAATGTACTTTGAAAAACAAGAAAAATATAATTACAAGTAACACTTCTTCTTTCTTTCTTATTACAGTACAATCTAAAAAATACACGAATCAACGAATCAAATGTATCAAAAAAAAGAAAAGAAATTCCCGTTTGAAAAATACAAAAAATCAATTTCTTAACGCTAATTAAAATATCAAAAATAAAATTTAATGAATAAACTCGCGCGCGTTAACATTATCCGCGATCGAATAACCAACTACTTGCAAAATATCTGAGACTGGAAGGGTGGTTTAAAAAAAAAAGCGCGCTTGCGCGTATAAGCTCGTAAATATAAAACAACTATCAACAATTCCTTTATTTCTAATCATTTTCCTCGAACTAAAGTTTCAATCGAAGCGGTCAGTCAAGCTTACACTCTCGAACGGTATCGACAACGTTCTTCTCTCATATCGATCGTGTGTAATTAACTTTTTCTCGTGGAATAGTTGTTGTTTCTTTGATTTTTCTTTTACTTCCCCTCCATTTCCCTTTCCCTGTTTTAAACGAATGGAGAAAAAGTTAGAAGTTGACGACAACAAGAATTACGCGATAAAAACATGTCGTTACGTATTAAAACCGATCGGACTTTGGCCAATGATTTATGGGAGTGCATCACGTACAGAAATAATTGTATCAACAATATTAGCAATCACCAATCTTTCCGTTGTTTGTTTCGTTTTAATACCATTTGGTATTTACATACTTTATTACGAGCACAACATTAACATCAAATTAAAATTATTCGGACCGATTGGTTTTTGTTTAACGTCAACGATTAAATATTGTTACCTTGGATATAAAAGAAAATCGATTGGTCGTTGCATCGCTCACGTTGAAAATGATTGGGAAAACATGTTAGATCATAATAATTTAACTATCATGAAAAAGTATGCCACCGTTGGTAGAAATCTTACCGTACTATGCGCAATTTTTCTTCACAGCGGTGGAATGTCATATCACACGATCATGACACTTTCTATGACCAAAAAAATCAACGAAACTTTAACGATCAGGCCATTAACTTATCCAGGATACGACGTTTATTTTGACGTACAAGCTAGTCCTACTTATGAGATTATATTTTTCCTACATTGCATTTGTGGCATAGTGATGCATAGTATTACAACTGCTGGATGCTGTCTTGCTGCTACTTTTGTCACACATGCTTGCGGTCAAATACAAATTGTCATGATTAAATTGAGTGATCTTGTTGAAGGTAAAGAAAGTGATGTCGGATTGAATGATCGTATGGCTTTACTTGTCAGAGATCATGTCAGAACTTTAAGGTAAATTATAATCATATTTTTAATTATTTTTTCTCTGTATGACTGTGACGATGATGGTGAAGTGAACATTGTTAGCCGAGTTTTTTCACGGGATACAAATATTTTTTTTTTACGTAATTTACTACTTCAAATTATATTGTTCCATTGTGAATATTTTCTTTGATTGTTTTCGAATTAAATAATTGTACTCGGCTAAAAATTTCTACACGACAAGATCGCGAAATTTATTATTTCTTTCATTATTTTCTTTTTTCTTTTCTTCGCACACGCATTTTAAAAAAACGTATTATCTTGTCTAGTCCATGAAAACAACCAATTGTTGTAGATTTTCTGCGGAAGTTGAAAAGGTACTGCGTGAAGTATGCTTGTTAGAAGTAGTAGCATCCACATTGATCATTTGCTTGCTGGAATATTATTGTATAACGGTAAAACAAATAAAATAATTTAAGTTTGATAAACAATATTCAATAAATTTCTTATTATAGGAATGGGAGAACAACGATCGAATTGCAACTATAACATACCTCGTCCTGTTAATTGCATTCACTTTTAACATATTTATATTTTGTTATATAGGAGAATTATTGGTCGATCAGGTATATATTTTTTAATCATTTTCATATCACACAACCTCGACAAATTCTATTGAAATTTTTCATAATTAAAAAAATAATAATCTTGAAATTTAACAACAGTGCAAAAAAGTTGGTGCAGCATCGTACAACATAGAATGGTATCGTCTACCAAAGAACGTTGGCCTAAGTCTGATCTTATTAATAGCAATCTCGAATTGTCCATCAAAGATAACAGCTGGAAAATTTTTTGAATTATCATTATTCACATTTGGCAAGGTGAGTAAAAATATTCAAATCATATTTATTTTAAACGCAAAAAATATCTCACATTTTTTTAAATTTATTAATGAACAACAGGTATTAAAAACTTCCGTCGTTTATCTCAACTTGATTCGAACGATCACGGATTAAAACCGAATAAATCAAACTGACATACGATTTTTTATCATATACATTTTTATTTAACATAAGATTCTCATCAAATTTGTATCAATCCTATGATAAACTATAAATTAATTGAGGAAATTGTCTGTATATACATATATTATATATGATAAAAATGTTACAGGACGAGTTTATGCTATATAAAATAAAACAAAACAAAAGTAATAACTTACATGATATTTTAAAATAATTTTAATAACCGAACGATGAGAAATTAACACGAATTGAATGAACTTCTGTCTTATAAAAATAAATCAAACGATTCTCCATGTTGCTCGTACATACGTTTTGATTTAAAAGACTTATGAAAGACAAGTTTGATCACACATACACACATATATACATACATACAATAGAAATACGTTCGATAGAAACTAACACACCTTTGATATTAAGCGAACCATTGAAGAGGGTGGACGCGCTTGCGCATTTGATTAAAATCGAACAATTTCTATTCCTTTTTATCATCCTCGTGCGTTCAGTTGAACCCTTACTGTCATTCAAACTCAACCCTATCGATCTGAATAGGACTGAGGAGTAATCGTCGAATAGTTTTTTTTATCTTTTAAGATTATGGAAAAAAGTTTGGAAAGGGATGAGAAAGATTACGCGATAGGACTTTGTCGATTCGTGTTAAAACCAATCGGACTTTGGTCGATGATTTATGGAGACGTGTCGCGTTTAGAAAAAATGTTATCCTGTGTATTAGCCGTAACTTGTTTTTCGATAGTTTGTTTTGTCCTTTTACCAGCCGGTCTTTATACAATTTTATACGAACATAATATAAATGCTAAATTAAAATTATTTGGACCGGTTGGTTTTTGTTTAACTTCAACTATCAAATATTGTTATCTTGGATTAAAGGGACAAGCTATTGGACGTTGCATCGAACACGTTGAAAATGATTGGAAAATGGTGCGCGATCGGAATCATCGAACGATTATGATTGAATATGCTACACTCGGTAGAAATCTTACAGTTCTTTGCGCATTATTTCTTTTCAGTGGTGGAATGTCTTATCATACTGTTATGACATTATCATCGAGTAGAAAAATTAATGATACTTTTACGATAAGACCACTCACTTATCCCGGATACGACAAATATTTTGACGTACAAGCTAGCCCTACTTACGAAATTGTCTTCTTTCTACACTGCGTTTGTGCAATGGTCATGTACAGCATCACTACAGCTGCTTGTTGTTTGGCTGCTACTTTTGTTACACATGCTTGTGGACAAATACAGATCGTTATGATGAGGCTGAGTGATCTTGTCGAAGGTAAGGAAAGCAGTGATATTGAATTAAATCATCGACTGGTTATCATCGTTCGGGATCACGTCAAAACATTAAGGTAAATCGATTTGCAGATTATTTTCAATAATCATTTCGTACATTATTCGCAGCGAAAGGACTAAGAGAAAATATTTGCAATAAATGATGCAAATTAATTCATCCCACTTACTTTTTTACTTTTCGATAATTTTTCACCACCTCCTCCTCCTCCTCCTCTTCCTCCTTCCCCTTTTATTTTTTCTTCTCGTACGATGATGAATTGTTCCGTTGCATCCGAAAAACTCTGCTCAATTTTTTTCAGGTTTTCCAACCAAGTTGAAAAAGTTCTTCGGGAAGTATGCTTGCTGGAATTAATAGCATCAACATTGATCATATGCTTGCTCGAATATTATTGTATGATGGTAAAAATTATGATTAATGTATCGATATCTCAAAAATATATTTAAAAATTGTATACTTTTAGGAATGGGAAAATAATGATCCTATAGCAACACTGACCTACTTCATACTGTTAATTTCTTTTACTTTTAATATATTTATATTTTGTTATATCGGGGAATTGCTCGTCGATCAGGTTGGTTTCTGTTTTTTTAAATTACCTAAATGGGTTTTTGTTTTTTAACTCCTTGACATTAGTGTAACATTTTTAAAATATTATTTTAATTTGTCTCAACTGAAAAATTGTCCAAACTTAATATACAAAACAGAATATTGGAATATTTTCATTGCTAAATATGATTTAACAAACATTAATTTAATATTAAGTATATTTTAAATAAAAATGAAGTAATTTTGAAAAATACAAAAATAAAATATTGTTGTATGCCAAGGAGTAAACAATTAAATTATTTCACAAACAATAAAAATATTGTACGTATTAAAATAACAGTGTAAAAAAGTTGGAGCAGCAACATACAATGTGGAATGGTATCGTTTGCCTAAAAACGTTGGCCTTGGTCTAATATTATTAATAGCAATTTCGAATTATCCACCAAAAATCACTGCTGGAAAATTATTTGAACTATCCCTTTTTACGTTTGGTAAAGTAAGTATATATTTTTAAAATAATTAATAATTCATTAATAATATTTCCTTTTTAATGATTAAAATTAATCATTTTTCCTTTTAACCCAAAAATATTAATATTTTATTTATTTTTATATAATTCAGGTTCTTAAAACATCCCTAATTTATCTAAACTTGATTCGGACTATCACGGATTAAAATATACAAAAAATATCGGAAACAAGTGTGTGTAGTCTTTTTAAATTTATATGAATTTATTAAATTTTTCTCATACCAGTAAAATCTGTTGATGATTACAAGTCGAAATACACAGTAATACTAACTGTGAGGACTGATGAATGATTTTTTGTTTACATCTCCGACCGAATTCTATGTTTTCATCTAAAAAAACATAACAGATCGAAATAATTATATGGTATATTTAAAATATAAACAAATGTACATTCGTTTAAATAATCCTACTATATTTCCTAGATCTAATCTATCCATGCATTGAGTCTCCATAAGACTCCGCCTATATGCGCGTATGGTTGCGCATGTGTAACCTATAATACAACTACTTTACTCCGACAATATGGCGATTCTAATAATATTTAATCTCAATGATAAAGATATTGCTTATAATTATATCTAAAATGAATAATTATATACATAATAATATTCAAATTAAAAGAAATTTAATAAAGAAATAATTTATTTAATCTAATACGATATTTTGTAATTATTTAATCTAACGTAAATAATCTAAATTGTTAATATTCAAATTCTATTTAATTCATAAAACATATTAAGCATATAAATATGATATCGTGTCAGTAAATGCTTATTAAAAGTAATAATAATAATTATCCTATGAGAGAATTTAATATGTAAATTATATAATTTATTAATATAATCAGAATTTTATATTAAGTAAAAATTAAAAAATTACAGCTCGATATCTCTAACTAAATATTTATTATTAATATAATTCATATTTATACTTACTAGAATTATTATAATCAATTATAAATATTGGAAATATTTAAACATCTCTCGACAAAAATTCAAGCTTCACACACACACATATATACACATAACTAATCCATAAGATGTATTAGCGATCTGACGTGTGATTAGAGATCACTCAATCTAAAAGAAAAAGCAATGATACTTAAAATTATATAGCAAGCATACGCAGACGCAAGCGCAGTAAAAGAGAATAAAAATAATCGATTGTTCTACGTCGACCAGTAAGAGTTTAAATTCAATTTGAAATTAGTCTGACGCTAAACTTTCAACAAGGAGGATGAAGAATCCTTCAGAAATATTTTCTAAACGTATAACATCGTTAAAACGTCGCGATAAAGATATTGAATATGCTATAAAGTATGGTCGTTTCATACTCAGATCAATTGGCATTTGGCCTGATAGGGAAAATAAAATTCAAAAATATATTTCGAATGTTAGTATAATTACGGGTAATCTTGTATTAAGTTTCGCTATAATACCTTGCGGTTTGCATATCATTTACGAAGAAAAGGATACTAATTCGAAATTAAAACTATTCGGTCTTCTAATATTTTGCATTTGTGTGATGATCAAATATTTTGCTTTATCAATGCGCCGATCTGATATCGTTCGATGTTTCGAATGCTTAAAAACTGATTGGTATCAGGTCAGTCAACCAATTATTTTCTATATTTATTAATATAATATTTGTTTAAGTATCTAAATATCATAGTAAATTATCTGAATTATATAAATGCAATTACAATTATCTATACATTCATTATTTAACAAAAATATTTTCATTTATAAAAATAAAGTGAGATTAAAATTTTGATGAAAATTAAATTAGATATAACAATTGAATCATTTTACAAGTTAGGAAATTCGACGACGTTACGATAGGTAAAACATCAAATACATCGTGAATTAATGTTAAAATATGCAAAGATTGGAAGAAATCTTACGATGACCTGCGCAGTTTTCATGTACACAGGAGGTGTTATTTATCATACGATATTACCATTTGTTAGTACACGTATGATAGATGTATCAAATAATACATTAAAACCATTGGTTTATCCAAGCTACAGTGTACTTTACGACGTACAAAAAAGTCCTACTTACGAATTTGTTTATGTCGCACATTTTATGTGCGGATACATAATTTATTCTATAGCAACCGGTGCTTGCAGTTTAGCAGCAATTTTTGCAATGCACATTTGCGGACAAATAGAAATTTTAACAACATTGATAGACGATTTTGTTGATGGGAAAAAATATTATTTTTCTAATAATTCTACTGGTCAACGATTAGCTATCATTGTCGAACGACACCTACGTGTATTACGGTATTCATTTATAAATTATTTTGTTGATTTCAATTAAAAAAGAAAATGGAATGAAATATATGCGAACTGCAGATTTGTTGCTATTTTGGAAGAACTTCTGCAAGAAGTTTGTCTGATCGAATTCGCCGGTTCTACTTTTTTAATATGCTTATTGGAATACTACTGCATCCTGGTAAGTGTAAATACATGTGTAAAATTATGATTTGATAATTTTGAAAATAATTCCCTTAATTTATTATATATATTTTTTATGCAAATGAGTTTCTTCGTTTCTTAAATGTTGTTATATTCGTTCCTGATGATTTTCTTCTTCTTCTTCTTCTTTATTTTGATGCAATGAAAATGTTCAATTACATTGTAAAATGTTCCAAAATTTTGTCCAGATCTTCTGTTCAAGTTCTATTCGCATTTACAATTAATAAATGTATTCCTTATTAAATAGAATCTTAAGTTTACGTACATCATAAAATATAAGACACAAATATTTATTCAAAATATTTTATTTCAATTTATTTCTCATCATTTTTATGCAGGATTGGGAAGAAAATAATAAGGTTGGTCTGTGCACGTATTTTATATTTCTAATTGCCACAAGTTTCAATATTTTTATGTTGTGCTATATCGGAGAATCTCTAACGAATAAGGTAAATTAATAATCATTGTAATATAAAATATTTTATATATTAATATTTGTATTTTATATTTTTAATGAAAGACAAGTAAAGTTGGTGAACGATGTTATACAATTGAATGGTATCGTTTATCACCGAAAATAACATCAGGATTAATTTTAATTATTGCTATATCTAATAATCCAGCTAGGATAACTGCTGGAAAAATGGCTGATTTATCTTTACTTACTTTCAGCAATGTAAGCATCTCTCAAAATTAATAATAAAATAAACAAATGTTTAATTAAACTCTTTTTACAAATTATAATCATCTTTTCAGATACTAAAAACGTCGTTAGCATACCTAAATTTATTACGAAAGCTGATAATATAAATATGGGTCAACAATTACGGTAATTGTTAATTAAATAAAACTTTTAGTTAAGTATGATCATGCTTATATAGATACTATGAAAATTAGTACTTATTATATGTATGCTAAAAATTAAGAAATAAATTAATATATGAACCATTTATATATATAATATACATGTATTATTCATAATATGAAATTAATAATTGAATTTTATAAACAAATTATGAAATATAGTGTATTCTTTATGCAAATTAATTTATAATATAATTAAATAAAATCCAATTATTAAAACATAATTGAATATATATTAATTTTACAATTATAAAATTCCTTAAATTTTTAGTTAATTTAACATAATTATAAGTATGATACACTAATTTTGTTTCTTACAACTATTTCGAAATTTTTAAACAAATAATAAAACAAAATCGTCAAAATTTATATAAAAAGACAATTGTAAAATACTCACAATAATAAACACTAGAAACAATATAATTAAACAATATAAATAATTAATTTTTCTTGTTTAATACACACCAAATGTACGAATAACATTCTGTTGGATTTATTTCAAGCTTCGAGAATTAATTGTAAAAAACTGAATTTAATTTTTTAACCAATCAATGTTCGTATTCTTATAGAACCAATCCCCTGATTGGTGGTGTACAAATTTCGAGATATTCGACTCGATTATCGAAGAGCTCATGTGACATTTTGTCAGAAAATATCGACATTACAAAATATTATAATTCGAACAAAATAAAATGATCATATGAATCATGGAAAAAGAAAATAAAAAAAAAAATGTAGAAAATGTATAAATGTCTTGTATGTAAAAACCATGCATTAATTTTTTCTAAATTATTATGACAAAACGTACTAATACAGAATATGCATTTCTCTCTATGTTACACGCGTATTCTCTGTTTGTACTATGAAACATTATTACGCATTATTTAGGCATGTGAATTATTTATTTAATAAAGCAACCAAACAATCAAAGTCGAGATTATTATCCTAATCACATTTTATATTCTACGCTAATGCATGAGCCATTTCCTATCATTTCTTTTATGTTGTGCCTTGACACCATTTCTCAAACATTTCTTTTATTTTTTATCCTAAACATGTGAGTATTTTTTTTATTTTTATCCTAAACATGTAAGTATCTTTTTTAATTTACTATCTTTTTTATACTTAAATTATATTTATGAAACCTAATTAATTTGATTATTTTCTCATTGTTATAGGTGATTTCAATTTTGCTAATATCATACTTAAACTTCTTTGTAAAAAAAATAACAAATGTAAAATGTCTGAAAAGCAAACAGTTGGTGGTATACCAGTTGAATGTTTGACTGGAGAATCCGCTGCTATATGGTCTGGTTGGCGTATGCTGGGTGACCGAGAAGTTGTAAGAGAAGCTTCTGCTAAAGGGACTTACATTAATTTAGCTTACAAATATTTGGCGTATAGAAAAAATTGTACCATCGACAAAGCTAAAATTTATTTTAATGAAGAGGTCGAACTATGGATTAAAGAATTAATAAACAAATGTCAAGTACACCGAGCTTCTCATATTTTAAAAAATATAGTACGTTCAATTACTATAATGTAACATGTTCATATATAAATATGCGACACTGATAACAAACATAATAATAATCTTTACTTATTTAACAATTTAATGTTCATTAATGATTTTAGGGAAGAGATCCTACGGAGCATACATTGAAAGTTTGTATTAAAACTAAGGAACCTTTCTTGAGAGAATATTTATGTGATTACATGATTAATGTTAACGGTTTCAATGAGACACAGAAAGAAGCATGGGACATTATACAAAGTATTTTACAGTATGAAAAAAAAAACATGTAAGTATCTCAAACTATTGACTTAAACATATTACATTCATATTCATTTAAATATTATATTAAATTTTTCATAGGCTTGAAAATTTATTTAGTAACATGATATGCATAGAAGACATAATAAATTTACCTGAAAATATTAAGCAAGCATTGTGTACAGAATTGTATATTCAATTATTTGAATCAAAGTTAATAAGAAATACGACGAGTAGTGTCGTCTGGAACTGCTTGTTGTTATATAATAAAATTGATACTATTAAATATTGGATCGATAAAAGATACAATACTAATGCAATAATTAAAGAAACATATGAAATCAATGAAAATTTTAAAGAATTAGTCGATAATTTGATTATTACTCCTGAAATGATAGAACAGATTGATCTATCAGATGCTAATAATTTTATAAAAGAATTAACAAAGAATCATTTATGCAAATATGGAATATTCACTAAAACTGAACAAGATAATTTAAAATTAACGCTGGCAAGGATATTCAGTAGTCAATTAACATTAAAAGATTTTGAAGAGATATTATCTTATGAAAGTTGCAATATTAATAAAAATGAATTTTTGGAAAATATTAATATAAATTATTATCTCACGCAACAGAATCATTCCATAGAAACTATATCGAAAGGAAAGAATTTGTATAATATTCTAAATAAAATGCATGATCCGCAATATAATGCTTTAGATACAGTGACCAATGCAATACTTGAAAATATTCATTACATCTCTGATAATTTTACTGATTTTTTAAAAGACAATTATTTAATAACTTTTGCATTAGTTTTTTTACAATATTGCAAAACCGATAATGCATTATGTTCTGTAAATGAAAATGTAGAACCTAACAACGACGATTTTAAAAATATGTTTAACAATGAGCATGGGCTACAAATAGGTGCTAATATTGTGCCATATGAAATACTTTGCAATACGCTAAAACATATACCAATAATACGACGCATTGTGCTAAATGAATCAAAGAAAAATGATATTACAATGTATGAACTGTTAGACGGTTGCCATAAGTTTACTGCTAAGCAATTTTTTAAATGGAGATACAATAATGAACCAATGCCTCATTTTTCAAATGAAAATTTAGTTAAAAGATATGGGTACCAGGAAACATTAACTTATGCTTATTATTTGAAAGAAGGAAGACCTAACATGGCTTTCTATATACTTAAAAATACGCAAGGAAAACCTTTTAGAAATATTTCTTCTAGAATGTGAGTTATTTTTTTTTTTTAATATTTGAATATTATATCTAAAAATTTGTATTTTTAATCTAAAAGTGTCTTTTAATTGTTTCAGGAAGTGTAAAGCTGCTTTTTATGCCCATTGTTTAGCTTTAAAAAATTTACATAATTCCGAACTAGTCTGTAGTTGCATTTCCTTTCTCGAAATGATAGGAATCAATTCAGAAATTTTAAGATTACATATCACTGCAGCTGATTACGTCCAGAAACATCTTAATATATCTATCGGTAATATTACTTTTTTCTATGTAATACAATTATATGAATAATTTTATAATCTAAAGTATTTTTAATGTTGCAGGACCTTTACTAGAATCTATTATGTTCAAAAATCCAGTTAACTTGCAAACTATAATATTATACTTAGAAAAAAGTTTTCAATCCTATCTAAATGACAATACAATCAGCGAAAATACTCTCTTCTTCGATGCACTAAGAATTTGGGAATTCATAATACAATTTGCACGGACTCACGATTCTTCTTTACCAGATACTCTTTTAAAGTATTTAGCCCAGAAAGATTTATGGTTTGAGTTTGTTTTAGTCGGACATATTTTTACTTATCCTACGTCACAAGTATGTATTTCAAATTTCTTTAAACTAAACCTGCCCTTGATCAACAAAGAATTTACTATATATAAAAAATTGTTCTCTTAATTTTATTTATAGATTTTAAGGCTCGCAAAAGAATTTCAAAATATTAATATACGTGAACATTTGTTAACTTGTTTTAATACAGAATCTACAAGTATTCTGTCACATCCCAAATATGAGACAAAATTAAAATTCAGGGATGTAAGACAATTTTTATATTGCAGGATCGGATTAAAGCAAAATGTAAAAATTAAATAATATTTAAAAATACGTACTATATAATCATAAAATAATATTGTAATAAATATATAATCAATATTTTTTGTAGGAATCAACATCTTCCAGTGCATCATCTTCGTTGACGGAAAGCACCAGCAGCGACACGTACTCAACGGCTTCAGAAAAAATTTCTTTCACTGAAAATATATATTCTTCCGACGATGACCTGTGGATGACATTTTTAAAATGTCATCATAGTCAGGATCCACCTAGTGCATTACTACATGTATCTCGTATAACTTTAAGACCTATATTAATTATTTTGGCAACTTGCTATGAGGTATAGTAAACAAAATTTGAATTTCTTACTTTATTAAACAAATTTGCTAAAGAAATTGATTTCAGCCATCGTTAACTACTTCCTATTGTTATTCCTGGATGGTAATATCTACGGCAAATAAAAGTATTCTATCTGATTATGCAGAATGCTTAGATCAAATAATGTGGCCAGCTAATAAAGTATTAGAATTGATACCAAGATTAGTATCTTCTGGATATGTTTGTACATTAAGCAGAGGGTTCCAAATTTTCATGCCTGTAAGTTCGCATTTTTATTACTAATAATTATTTTTTAATATTATAATTAAACTATCATCGCGCGAATATTTTAGGACAACATATTAAATCCATTTTTCGAGTTCCTTGTACGGTGTACAAATCATGGCGAATTTAAAGAGTGCCAACAATACTTGAAAGACTTCAAAACACAATCCTCGATGCTTATATGCAGTGTACGTTAATATCTTATATTTTTAATGAAATTAAAAAAGTACGCGAATGATTAATAATATTTGATATTTGTAGAAAATTGTTAATTGGGAATCTGTCGATAACACGTATTTAAAAAATTTTTATTGGATTGCAATATTAGTTATTAAATGTATCGTAATAGCTCTTGCTCATAATTTTCGAAGTACACAGTTACAGATACATTTTTTGAGTGCTCTAGTAAAATGCAATTTTCATTATGGATTACCAGGTAATAAAAAATAATTATTTTTATGTTACCACACATAAAATAAGATTGCTGATTTAAAATAATTGTTGTTTTTCAGTCGACACACCTGATTTTCAAAACCTTTTAAACATTACTAAGGTTTTGTTGAAAACTGAGATTACGTTGAATTTTGCAGCCTTCACTGTTACGGATAACGTATACAATTACAATCAAGAAATAACAAGATGTATTAATTGTTTAGTAGAACGTAAAGATTACATTAATGCATTACAAATATGCAGTATAGCTGCATTAGATACGTCAGAAATTATACTCGCTCAGGTATATCTGTCTAAAAAATTCATTTTAATTTTAATTTATTATAAAAATTATATAAAATAATTGTTTCTAGTATCGCAATGAATTTGAACATTACTCGAGTACTAACAGTAAACTAAAAAAATCATTTTGGAAACGATGTACGGAAGATTTTAAAAAATACAACGTGCCATCTGAAAAAGCAGCAGAATTTTTAGTCGAACATGCCGAAAAAGTTCTCTCCCATAAAGAAAGGTATTTGCAATGAAAATTATTTCTAAAATTTAATATATAAAATATTCTATTAATATTTAATTTTAACACAGATACGAAATATTGAAGTTTGCTTTTGAAACATTAAAAGATAGTCAAATAGAACAACAAACGATTGACACCTTAGAAATGGCTATGTGGAAATCATGTATTTTAATTGGTCCTAATAATGTATTATTAGAATACGAGGATGAAATTTTAAAAAAATTAAAAACTGAATTACTCTCGGGATTAAATAAATTACAAGTTACGTGTACTTTAGCCGATGCTAATGAAGAAAGTGCTGCTGAATATTTAATTAATAAATTAATCGATGCTGGAAAACTTGATGTCGCTCTGAGAATTAGTACAATATTTAATTATAAGCACAGAGTAAGTATTATTATTACTTATTACTTATAATTATAAAATAATCATAAGTAATTTCTACAGGATTTGCAAGTGTTACTGCTATGTTTAAGTTTGGCAGAAGGGGAATTATTGTATACAGAATTAACATTACAACAAAAAGATTTTTTGATAGAAGCTGACAAAAGTGTAACACAAAAATACAGTATTTTCAAAAACCGTGGTCTTCAAAGGCTGTCATCATCGTCTTCATCAAGTAATTATATTTTTATTCAAATATAATTTAATTTCTATGCATACAATAATTCAAATAAATTAATGTAAATGTATTTCCTATTTCCTTTTTCAGTAAATACGATTGGATCGGATTCCGGTAAAACATTAGATGTAAAAAGTACACCCATTCGACAAAATCAAATCGAATGTATGTCAATGCTAGAAAAATTAATGAAAACACTTCGTAATGGTGTTGATACAGGTTCTAGAATATTTCTATGTTATAAGCTTGCAATAAGATTAGGAAAATCGTATCAATCTTTAATAAAATTAGACGAACCAGTTCAACTTTTACAAGAGGTAACGGATAGCAATATTGATAATAAATTTGAGACTGCTAATGATATTATAATAGCATACAAAATAAAAAGCAATGAAATTGCATCGTTTTTAACGAAAAATATAGTACATAGTATTACCAAAGCAATTGAAGGTAGGTAAATGAAGAAAATATTTTATCTCTGACTTATTTTTTACATTAAATCGATAACGAAAAGAAAATATTAAAAAAAAAAAAGTAAATTAATTCTTTTAGATAAACAAGACGACTCGATAATAATGTGGGGATGTCCTTTAGATGCAAGCTTTCATTTAATAATGGAATTGTGCAGTGATATTTCCATCTTGGGATTAAATCTTCTAGAAACGGCGCACAAATTAATGGGATATTCTCAAGGAGAAAAGAGAAATGGTAATTCATAGAGTAACGTTGTCTATTTTCTGATCAATAATTCATTTTTAATCTTATATTATTTTTTTGTTTGTTTTAAATTAATTTAATTCTGATTGATTTTTCAGTATCAACTTTAAAGACAATAGTAGAATTATTGATCAGATCTCATGATTGTTTCACCGCCTGTTGTAATATGGAAGGAATAGCATCTATATTAAGAAAATGTCAAAACATTGCTAACACTTTACAAATTCGCAAAAATTGGACGTTATTGGTAAGTATTTTAATTTTTTTTTGCTGGAACATCACTTTAAAAAATTATAAAATCTAAATACTATTTTTATATAACTTTCTGCAGGTTCGTCTTGTGACTGGTGTTGGTCGTTTCACGGAAATGAATTATATTTTTCAAATATTAAAAGAAAACGATCAATTTGAGTTCTTACTCGGTAAAAGTTTACACAAGGTATTCTACATTACTTCGCATACTTTACCTATTTCTTTTTTTTACTGTACGTTATAATATTTTTAATTGAATAGGTGCCAGGTTTAAAAACAGCATTACTAGAATTTTTAAAACGTAACTGTCCTAAAAACAAAGAACTCTTTACATTAGTAGCATTACATTTTCGTCTTTATTACGAAATAGCTTTAATGTGGGAAATTGAAGCGAAGGAAGCAACTAAGGAACTTATGTTCGATTTGATGAAAGAACAAGCAAAAGTAGCGAGTTCTTCTCGAGTCGAATTAAAATTAATTAAAACCGAAAGTCTTCTACAAAAATTGCAAATAATAGTTATGAACTTTACTCACGCAGCTCAATATTATTTACAAGTAATACATTAAAATATTTCCTATCATTTTAAACTGCATGATACTTTTTTAAACTAAATTTTTCTATCGTAGGACAATAAATTACATCTAGCGAATAAATGTTGTCAACAAGCGCAACTGGTTGCCTTGCAAATTGCATTACTCAATGCGACATCTAATCAACCTACTATATGCATCTTAAATTTAAAAACTGATCAAATAGATAAAATCCTCAGCGAAACATTAAATTTTCAACAAGCTTTGATAGTTGCCGGAGCATATAATCATCACCCAGATTGGGCAAATATTATTTATAGTCATTTTATTCTTAATGGAGAGATAAAGTACCTGAAAGATTTCATTACTGTAATCAAACTCTCTTCAAATATAACTGAAGACTGTGCACGTAGGTAAGTTCATAATTTTCATTCCCACGATGAACGCATTGTTGTTTTCTTCTTGCTCTACAACGAACACATATTTTAATTAATTTAATTAATCTAATTTTATAGATATAGATCTGAAAAAAATCTGACCAATTCGATGAAAAATAATATGAAAACATTAATATCCGAATTGGTGGATGTCGAATGTAAATATATGCTAGCGAGTCAATTAGGATTTAAGGAAATCGTTGAAGTTATGCTAAATAGTCCTGCAACAGCTGCATATCTCAAAGATACAGTATGGAAAAAGGGTTACAAATCATCGTGATTGACGGTGCTACATTCCATTTACAATGTATTTAATGAACTTTTTATTTTATTTTTATATATGTTACCATTGTATTGTATGTAAGATAAAAAAATAGGTAACACAGACAAGTTATTAGAAATGTAAGCCTTATACCATAAAAACTATATATTTTACTAGATTGATCCTAATGTAATATTGAAATTAATAAACTATATTTTTGATATAAAATTATAATTACCTTTTTAAAATATTCTCAGGACTCCATTAAGGTTATGATTCCTGCTGTATGGGTCGATATATCGTCTGTACAGAGCTTCTACATTGGCGTATAGATGTCGCTAGTTACGAAAAAGTTAATTAGACGTACATTAGATATAATCGATATTTTTCGATTAATCGTTATCGAACTATTGAATATTGGTACGAAATTTCAATTTATTAAAAATCTTATATGATTCGATTACAAACATTTTATGCACAAGTATAATTCGAAAAAACGTTTCTACGTTGTTAGGGAATTAAACTCGAGCGTTCAAAGTTTAGATGCGTATATTAAAGATAATGATAAATCATTTAACGAACAATTAATTGGAAATAAAAATGTATCGAAACGTCGGATCAGGTTATTAAAATATATCGATCGTTTAATCGAAGCCATCGAGAGGGAAGAATTTAAAAAAAAGGAAGGTATAAGAATATTTTTATAGATATTTTTCTTTTTTTCATTTTTCGTTTACGAATACGAAATATCAAATGGAAATAAATATTGCGATATATTTGTTTTTCGCCACAGCGTTTGAATATTTAAAAGCATCAAACGAAACCATGAAAAAAACTATCTCTAAATTACAAGATTCTATAAATAGAGAAAACGTACACGTGGAATTTCAAAGATTGGATAATCTGAATACCGAAAGACTTTTAAAGATTGATCCTAAAGTATTTTAATTTATTTCGAAATTAATATCGACTTAACATAAATCTCATTAAATGTGAGTACCTGTTTAAACGATATTCCATGAATTTAATTGAAATTTATATAATATAAAAAACAAAATTACATTCTTATACGATGATTAGAAATTAATATTACGTGAATTAAAAATTTTTATAATCTGTATTGGTTTTTCAAACTTTCCTTCTGCAGATTTTTTTTTTCCTGCATCATAACTATAATCAAGATCTATATTTGGATATACATAAATAAATGTAGTAAAAGTTGGAAAATATGATAGGAATACGTAGAAACTAAAATACGAAAAAGAAATATATCTTCCAATACATTTAAATAAACACGGTAAAGTTTGAAATGTAAAAAAAAAATATATATATAGAAACTAATATACAGGATTAAAAAAGAAAATAAAAAATCGAACCAATATCATGAATTTTATCATCCTTTACATTTGAATACATTTAGAAAAAAATATAGTAAAATTTGTAACGCTATAAAAATATACACGTATATAAGTATACACACATCTATACGTACACGTAAGTTTCGTATATTTAAGGAAAAATAGAAGAAAAAAAAAAAAAAAAAAAAGGGGGGAGGTATCACTGGTTATATTTTCTACCCGCTTACCGCATTACGCCTTCCTTACCGCTTTTCAGAAAACCAACCCCTATTCGATAATTTCCCTACTTATGGGATTAATCTTTATACGATGCAGTGAGATGGGTTTTCGATAGATCGATACGCCAGCTGACACACAGGCACGCGTTTCTAAGCCGCTTATAACGATACCTACGACGAACACAGATTTTTGCTCTTTTTTGGAAAATCCTCTTGTCTGTTTAATCCGACAGGCACAGAGAAATTGTTAATAATTTCGCAGGAATAGGGTGATAATTGATTTCAAAAATACGCCACCCAAGAACCTAACATGTATAAGCTTTTTCGATAAAATGAAATAAGAATTTCAAATCTGATTTTTTCTTTTTATTCATCAAAATGTTATCAATACTTTTTGTACAAGCTTTCACGATTAGAATTTTACCCAACGATAAAAATATTTCCCAATTTTATGATATTAAATTATATTTATTTTTTGTTTATTATTAATATTAGATGAAAAAATATAAATTAGAAAAGAAATTCAAGGGGAATATGATAAAATTGCAAAAACTTAAATTTAAAATAAGATGTACAAATTTGAAATGTGATAGATGCAATACATCAAAGTTTCGTATACTTGGTGACAGATATTTCATATTCTGATCGAGTATTCCATTACTGATAGAAAATAGCTACTATCTACTTATATATATTAATATCTATAGATACATTTATATAGGAAATGAAAGAAAAAAAAAAACGAATAAGTTAAGGTAATGTACACCGGGTGAGTTATTTCAAACAGGCCATTGGAATAATTCGATTGCTATTGATGATAGAAAAAGATAAATCAAAATTTATTTGAATTTACAGATTTTTCATTTTACATAAAAAAAAAAAATAAAATACATCGGGCAAATATGTATAACACTTTTATTTATAATTAACAACAATCCAATTACATTTGAGTGATTTGTATTAAATACTTCACCCGGTATAATTTCGATGCGTAAAAACGTTAGAGTACGCATGTTACAAACATAATTTATTTTAGATCGGAAGTATGAAAAGTATAATAATGGAATAAAGGTACGAAATGAAAGAAGTATTCTATGGTCTTACAAATATCCTTATTATATAATTCTGAATTATGTTCGTAGATATTAGCAGAGAGAGAGAGAGAGAGATTACTATTAGTTTACAAATGAGACTCATATATCCAAGGATTATAGCCCGGTTCATATACAATCGAAAGAAAAACTACGAGGCCTGAGTAAACAGGGTATATCAACATACTTTATGACGATGATCGTCCGTTAGGTAAAACCTTCGGTAAAAGACTAATCGTAATAATACAATTTTCCCAACCATATGAGCGTGTATATGAATCGATCAAAAACCAATAACGTTTGTAAATTTAAATTGACAAAAACACATTAGCACGTTTTAAACAACAATATCTCATTTTTGTTTGAATTGTAATAATTATATAAAAATAAACGGGGGATAATTAAAAAATGATTTATAGAAGAAAATAAATTCTATGAAAAAACACACAACAGCATCCCGTTTCATCGTCCCTGAGCTACTTGTATTCAAGTATAACAAGATAATCGAGGGTGTAACGCGATAATGTGTTTATTCTCGTGGATCGAATAACTGCATTATCTCTTATCTCATAGTCAGGCCATTTAACTCGCAAACAAATGAATGCGTAAACAGGAAAGAAATCTGGTTTAAAATTAAAAGAAAAAAAAAAGAGAGAGAAAGAAATTGTTCACTTCGATCAATGTAAATGCATTTTTAATTGAGTTCGTTTATATTAATTATAATAGAATCCGAAAATATTCTTGTACATTAAAAATTTGATGAATCACAGAGAATATAATTGAGAAAAACAAAAAAAAAAAAAAACAAGAATATTATTTAATTTGATGAAAAATAATCGCATCTTGGTATCCCATTGTTTTACTATTGCATAACAAATTAGGAATAAAATTTGATTGGGATTATAATTAAGTAAGTATAAAAGGTAGGGTCGGTGTACAGATACGATAAACAACAAACAAATAACGGACATTTTATCCCCCGTTGGAGGACGTGGATAAAGTGAAAGATGATGGGGAAAAATATAAGAGAGAATATAGGGATGGTGTGTGTGGTGAGGCGGCGGGGAGAGGTAAAGGTGAACACGTCCTATGGGGTTTCGAGGCATGACAATTTATCGCGAAGTAAGCATCGCGTAACTAACACACCATGACTAAAGACGAGGTTCGCGTGATACTCGACTCCACTCGAGCACAATATCGACGATGCTCTTCACCATAGAATGGTCCATGTTCCACTGTCATTCGAGTTTGCGTTTAATAAAAGGGGGCTTGAATATTGTCAAAGTTACGTGCGAAACGATTCGAGACGCGTTAAAAGCCATCCGACACTTTCTAACGTGTAGAATATGTTAAATTGCTTTAAGCATCATAAAATGGTTCTATCTATGGTCAAAGAAAAATCAGAATAATTCGGACCTTTATCTACATTTTTTTTTCTCTTTCTTTATATATTCGTTTATTCGTTAAAATATTTCTTATTTTTAATAACCGCAAGGTTTCTTAATAAGTTTTTCGATTTCGTATCACGTAAATATACATATGTAACATTGTAAAAGTATTTTCAGATTGAAAATCATTATAAGTCTTATATGGAATGTTTATAATAAAAGAATGAAATTTTGGATTTTAAAATATTCAAGATTGTTTTTTTTTTTATTTTTTTCCATTTCTATTCGATTATTAATTAAACTTTTGGACGACTACGAGAAAGATAATTGATCATCTCGTCAACAGTATTATATTCGTTTATTCGCAATATTTTTTACTCTTTCTTTCTTTCTTTTTTTTTCTTTCTTTTTATAATAGATAAATTAATAAGAAAATATTTTGTCCCGTAATTAAACATAGTAGAAAGTTTATATTGATCGTCTGAAAGTTTATCCAACAATAAGACGTCACTTTCTTATATATTATCAGAGGAAAAGGGAAAACGTTTTAAGCGTCAGCAGGTTTGCCATAAATAAAAAAAACGGATTGATGGACCTTTTATAATTTAACCTTTCCACGCAAAAGAGATAATATATTGACGATCGGTGTATACGCGTGTTATAAGTGGTTATCACCTTATTACGTCATAGTCAAGAAAATCTTTTACACGTTCCTAGGGTTAATTTTAATAATAAACTTTTAATAATACATTGTGACCAATTAAAAAATATAACAATTATTATTAGATATTAAATATACCACACACACACATATCGATTGAGAAATAATTTTCTTTTTTTTTTTTGTTAGAATAAATTTTATCGAATTCAAATAAACGTTATATAGAATCTGTTATAATAGAATCGTATTTTTGTATTTTGCGCTTTTTTCTGTTTTTTTTTTTTAATTTCTTTTTATCACCCGAAAACGCGATTCCAGACGAAATGAAATTTTCTATCATTGATCGTTTCTTGAACCCAGTGCAAATTGATAAAACGATTTAAATTTGTTTCTCTTCTTATTCTGTGTTACCCGTTTTATTTTCGTATATATTATTTCACCTCAGGCATTTGGAAACAGTTAGGATATCGGTTTTTAACTTTTCAAATAGTTATGAGAGATGAG